ATACACACACACACATACACAGCTTGTCTACACTGCAGCGGTGCAACTGAGCAGCACTTAGTGAAGATGTTACTATGTGGCCCAGAGAGCTTCTCCCACCAGCATAGGGACTCTACCCCCAAGAGGGGGTAGCTAGGGCAAGGGGAGAAGCCCTCCCACCGACATAATGCTGTCTACACTGGGGGTGAGGTGGGTATAATGACTTCGCTTGGGTGGATTTTCGGTGTTTAACAGAATTGTAACTGGGCAAGAGCTAATGGGGACTGAAATCTATTGGCGTGGAAGTTGCTGCGGGGACCAGGCAGACAGAAGAGCCGGCCACCAGGCTGTTTGGAAGGGCACCTAGAGGGCGATTTAAAAGGTAGCGAGTGGGTAGATTCCTGATCCAGATTAGGTATCACACGTTACGACAGGCTGCCCAACCTCTGACCAACTGAGGGCTGAGTTGGGAACCTGCCAGCAGCAGCCGAAAGGCCAAACCTTATGTGAAAAAAGCCCCCGATTGCAGCTGGCCGTATCTTCAACACAGAGGTGCGGCTGTCCGAGCAGGCCATCTTCCATCTCAACCCAAGTGATGGCTGCTTGGCTCCAGACGGAGCATTGCATGCAGGGACCTGTAGTCTCCCTAAGCAGCACTCCTCCGTAGTGAGGGTAGGATAACTGCAGACCACACGGACGAAAACCAGCAGGCAGTCACAGGAGAGATTTCACATGCAGGCCCTGCCTCTGGAGGTGCAGCTGGAATCACCTGAAGTTACCCTCTCTGGAAATCTTGCTGCTTGTGGTGGGGTGGGGGTAACAACAAAGCAAAGCTCAGCAAGATAAATACATCCTGCATGCCGCACGAGGCCCCCGGTAAAGTTCTCTTTGGCAGCTGGTATTCCCAATGACTATTTCAGATTGTCCTCCCGACCCCGAAAAAACGGGGAGTCAATCGATCCGGCAATTCTAGGAAGCAGTTGTTTCTGACAAGGTTTTTTTACCCTCTCCTACACAGGAGAATCTCCTTCCTTCTAAACCAACTGCACACTGGAGAGCAATGCACAATCTAGACCAGGGCCATGACCTTTGTTCAGTGTAGTCCCCACCTTTGCAGAGGGGCCACTCTCCCCTCCCCTTTCCAATCACCTGGGCTGCCTCCCCTCCCGTCCCATCCCCTCCCCTTCTGTCCTGCAGGCAAGAGCTCATTTGCAAATGAGCCATATCCCTGCAGCATCCAGGCTGGCTCCTCTGCCCCATTCTCCGCTGCTGAGGAGGAGGGGCAGCTAGCATCATCTGACCAAATGCTCCATGGACCAGTTCAGGAATCCCGGGTCACAAAAGCAGACCTAAAGGGGAGCTGAAGGACATCAACGGACACTTGAGTGCAAGGTCCAATCCTGACAGGTGCTGAACACCCACAACTCCCAAGCGGACTTCGGGGTGACGAGAGTCTCAGCATCAGGCCCAATGTTCTGTTCAGACAGCGTGGGGAGGAGAAAGAGGAAAAATATGCACCTTACTCTCCAGCTTTTGAGTGTACAAGGATTAAAATACAGAATAAAGGATCCTTTCAATGCAGGAACAGGTGGATGGGAAGGGGAAGCACGGCGGGCCACAACCTCTTCCAGTTCAGAAACAAATTTACAGCATTTCGATGCTCACAATGATCACAGACCTCAATTCTCGCCACCTGAAACCCTCGAAGCAGAGGGACAGCTGCAAAGGTTCTCTGGGCTGCAAATTCCTTCATGCCCATTTTCAGTTTGCGTATGTTGAGGTGAGCAGCTTTCCTCCTGGGATCAGAAACGTGCATGTTTGCAGCAAGGCTCCCTCCTGACCTCTAGCTGCCCTGGAGTCGCGAACAGGCGGCGGCAGCGCTGTAATGGATTGTCTTGCTCTTACGTCCCACCTCCAGTTTCCAGTCCCCGGGTCCAAAAGACAAGACTATCGTGGGAGAAGTGACAGTCTCAATGCAGCAGATGTATCTCATTTCAAAGGGATGTGCAACATCTGAGTCCATGCACACTGCTAGCCCTTGCTTCTAGCTCCTTTCACCAGACTAATTTCATTTTTCTTTTCTTTTTAAATGCTGCATTTACTCCAATCCTGCTGGGGATTACGCAGTCAATTCACGTTGAAATCTTCACGCACAGCTCCTTAGTGGACAAGGTAGAAAGCCACCTTTCTCTTGACATGAAGGTCTAATAACCACATTATTCCTACTATGCTGAACAGCAGATGACCCCAAGGCTGGGAGCTGTGGCAGATTTGAGTTTCTTAGATCAGTTTCCTTCTTAGACATCAGAAGGAACTTGGCGGCTGGGGTAGGACTTTGTACAACTTGAGGGTTGGGGCAGGATTCTCCATTGAGCCATTCTGTATTTAAGTCCCCAGACATAGTCCCTCCTGAAGAGTCAAACATCACTCTACCACACGCCAATAAAATAAAATAAAAATATTGCAGCAGTTGCTCACACACTGTACCTTACAAACAGATTTATACAGCAGAATTACAACTCTGGTACCACTTAAAAACCCAGCAGTGCTTAGAAGTTTCAAAATAGCAGCATGGAACAGCAGGGCTAGGACAACCAAAGATGATTTGCAACAGTGTTGTCTCCATGTTTGGCCAGGAAGCATTCTGGATCTCCCCAAGTCCTCACAACTAGCAAAACAAACTCCACACTAGCAGGCACCGCCCCCGAGGACACTGATAAAACCGTGAGAACCTGTCGCATCCAAGGCGAAGAGTCACGATCGTCTAGCACAGCCTGTAGCCGAAAAATGACAAGACAAACGGAGGAAAGAAAAGCTGTTGCGTCTGCAGCCAGCTCCATGTAACTGTCCACTCTCTCACAGCCACACTGCAGTTTGGTAACAATCGCACCAAAAGGAGCCGTGTTCAAACAACATTAAGGATGAGACTTGGAACTCCACTTCAGCAGGAGCAATTCAGAGTGAAAAATATGATCCACCCGTCTCCGCCCATGCTTTGGGGATCCAGTCTGTCTGATCTGTCTGATCACCCAGCAGCCAATGACCTCTGCGATAGTTCAGCCTCGTATTAAGGATAAGCTTTCGGTCTTGACTCAGCATTTCTTTGCCTCTGCCAGTCTGAGTCAGGCCATGAATGTTCTCTGAACGGAGTTGGTTTATTTTGCTCTTTTTACAATAGTAATTTAAACAAATAGAAAGTCGGAGGCGTGTCAATGACCAGCTCTGACTAAGGGAGGCTCTTTAGAGTTGCTCTGGGTCCTAGGCCCTCCTGAAGACATATGGGAGCTGGGTGTTTCTTTTCGCACGGATTCTCACGCTCCTTTGGAGCTGTTCTGAGTACTCTGAGCTCTGCTAGCTACCTTCCAATGTCTCCACTGCCTTCCCATCGGCTAGCTCCTCTTGAGTCACCTAGTCGCTTGCAAAACGTCGCTGGTGGAAAAAGGACGGCAAAGCTAGTTAGTGACGCAATCGTGACCCCCAGCAGAGCAAGGCTGGTGAGAACGTACCAGTCAAATCTCCCATCTGCCAAGTTCCAACCTTAGAGTTGAGGAGATCAAGGGCTCTAGTTTCCCAGTGCAGGATGGGACTAACTCCCAGTGAAGGCGATGCAGTGGGTGAACTGGGCCTAAAGTTTGTACCAGAAATGTTGACAGACCTTAAACTGAGGTTGGAATGACTGGAGATTATTTTATTTAACCCTTCCTCTTCCAAAAGCAAGGCCTCTCAGGTGGCTGTTCCCACTGCAGTGGGGAAGCCAGCGCCTGCAGGGTCCCCCACTGGCTCTTTCGGTCTAGCTGACTGGCTGTGACGTGGAGAGTTGCTCCTCACGCCCTGCCTGTCAGCGGGGTGCTCTCCATTCTGAGCCATGGTGGTTCTCAAAGGTCTCGGCTAGTGTGTGACGATTCAGGGTGATGATCAGTACGCGGGTTAATTATCGTCCTGTTCCTAAACTGCGGTGCAGAGAAGGTTGGGGCTCAGAAAGGTCACACGACTCATCTCCCTCACCCGCACTGGGGACCGGCGGCGCCAGCCCCAGAAATACGGCAGAGCTGGCCTAGAGGTACAGCCAGCTGGCCAAGACAGCCAATCCCACTGGTTAAACCAATGAGAAAACACACGCGGCCTGCCCCGGTCAACTGGCTGTATCTGTCCTATCAGCCACAGGACCCAACCCAGCCATCCCCTCCTGGGTCACAGTGCACCACGCTGGCCACTGTCGGAGACAGGATATTGGGCTAGATGGACCTCTCATCTGACCCACTACAGCAGCTCTTATATTCTTATTTAGGGATATGGTCAGCCACAAAAGCCCTCCAAAGCTGGGCTAACAAGGTCCTCTGCAGCTCCCTCTTCCATCCTCTGGCTGTGACATCTCCTGGGGGACGAGGAAAGAGGGTGCCAGAGTCTTCTCCCCACCCCAGCCTCATGTTTCTATCTAAGCAGAAGTACAAATCTTAAACCATTAACAAAATCCATACGGTCTTCAGGGCCAATAGCAGGAGAAACGGACCCCTGCACTGGGTCCAGATAATGTCTTTGATCGTGAAATACTGCCCCGTACCCTTCAGGAACTGATTCCCACCCTCAGGCCATACTGGACTTGGGGCTTTGGCAGAAGCCAGTTTAACCTTTTGTTGACTGGCACTGCCCAGACTGGCAGCCCAATGACTGCGGAGGGAAATTGCAATACACATCCAGCCTCCAAAGGGTTAGAGGGACAAGCACGAGAAGAAAGCAAAAGGCGGATTTGGCTCCAAACTGTCAGCTTCAGATGCCCAATAGCTCCACAAGCCCCGGTTTCCAGACACAAGGCCCAAAGGCAGCAGGGGCTCTCACCTCCTCTCCAGCACGGTGTTTGTTGCTTTTCAGAGTCAGCAGTTACATGGTCTTACAAAAGCCGGGCAATGATATTGTTTAATATTCTAAGCAGCAGCCCCTTCCCCCCATCCCGGAAGGGCTCTCAGCAGGATGCACAGTGGCAATGATTCTTCTGTTTAACACCAAAGCAACAAATTCTGGCAACACGTTAAATATATTTATAGGACATCTGTGACTGGGACAAGAGGGAAAAAACAGGGAAGTGGGGAGGGGAGTGGCTAGGCAGAGGGGAAAAGGAAGAGGGGTGGTTTAAAAATGTTAATCGTTCATGAAAGACCAAAGACATCTTCTGATATAGCAGCACTTCAGCAGTCAGCTGCAGACCCTGTCGGAGATCAACCGCATGCCAACTTTGTTCCAGAAATGAATCCGAGAGCCTCTCTCTTCCGCAAGGATTGGTTACGTGGATAGTTCTTTTGTCCCGGCATTGGCAGATAATTTAAATACTGCAGCTTAAACGAGTTCTGGAAAAAAAAAGGAACAAGAACCACCCTTTTGTGCACCAAACTCCTCATTTTAAGGAAAACCTCTCTTACTTCCCGTGTCTTTCGAGTGGTTGAAAGGTGCTGGGTTGAGAGCTCTGGAGAGTCCAGGTGTATTTATACACTGAACCGGGAGAGTGCAGCACAGGCCGTGACACAAACCGCTGCTCACGTGCATGGTTACGGAGAACCTGCCTCGCCCTCACCAGTGAAACAAACTGCCACCCAGGGCCCCAAACGCAAGGGTGGCAGATAAGCTAACCAAGTGTGCAACCCAAGCCCATCCTAAGCAGCACCCTCCATAACGTCCCACACCCCTCCAAATCAAATCCAGTTTGATGATTAATCTGGTCAGGCAGTAAGTTCCCCCATAACAGCCTAGAAGTGGTAACTCTCCTTGCTGGGATAAGAGCTAGAGGGTTAACACTACACACACACAGGCAAGGCTTGGTCTAAGCAGCCGTCAACTCATGCAGCTAGGGCGCTGGGATCTATTAATAGATAATACTATACATTAGCAAATTTCCATGTAATCAGGCTGGACTCGCTGGTCTGCGCCTCCTCCACTGGCCAAATCCACTATCCTGCATTCCCCAACATTGGGAGAACGGCGCCATCACTACCTAGGAGGAAGTGCAATTGCCATGATTTGGCAGAACCTTCTAGCTTGGTGACAACTGCCCAGTGTCAAACCACCTGCACCCTCATGTTAAGCAGCCGCTCCTCCATTCACTCTGAAGAACCCCTCCCCCTCCTGGCTGGGTGGGAACAACTACTGATTTAATTGTTGGGGAAGCTGGGCCAAAAGGGGAATTGGGCGTAAGGACTGCAGGTGTCACATGCCAGGAACTCTTCAACAACTCCAGCTCGAAGGTACCAAAAGGTTCTCTGTCTCCTGGCAGGATAACTACCACCAGCCAAGATGGGAGATACTGACCATCCAAACGAATCATTCCAGCTCAACGTTTGCCTCTTCTCCCCAGTGCCCACATGCCCTTGTGCCTCGTTTTTACCTGTGCGCGCATGAGGTACAGTGTACTGTTATTTATCTGGAGATGTAGGTGTACGTTCTGGACGGGGAGCGGGTCGATTCTGCTTGGGCAGCTGGGTCATTCAGGAAGTCCCACATGAGGATTGTGTCATCGTGCGAGCTGCTGATGATCTGGAATTCGTCGAACTGGAGTCGAAAGACTCTCCCAGAATGCTCCTAACCGGGAGAGTCAGAGAGACAGCAGGGATTACTTTACAGACTGCCTGGCTGCTGGGAATGCGTGGCGAACATTAATAATTGATTCGGTTTTTGGTCAGTAAACCCTATATGGCTACTGTGTGCCATTGTCTCTGAGGAACAAGCTAAGTAGCGTAAAAGTACGTCTGCCATATTGGGAACCTGGCCCTTCAGCAGGGAGCGCACACCAGAGTAGACACCTGCATGGAAGCATTGCTCCCCGAGCCCCATGCCCTTAGACCGAGCTCTCCTCATAGGACAGCTCTTCTCCAGAGCAGCTGGGGGGGCTGACAGAACAGTAGCCTCATCCCTCCTACTATACAGCGCAGCACTGCCTCCATAGCATTTCCACCAGCAGTGGATTATAGGGGAACAGGGGAAAGTTTGGCAATTGATTGCCTTCTACGATGAGATAACTGGCTCTAGAGATATGGGGAAAGCGGTGGACGTCATATATCTTGACTTTAGCAAAGCTTTTGATATGGTCTCCCACAGTATTCTTGCCAGCAAGTTAAAGAAGTATGGATTGGAAGAATGGACTATAAAGGTGGATAGAAAGCTGGCTAGATCGTTGGGCTCAATGGGTTGTGATCAACGACTTGATGTCTAGTTGGCAGCCGGTATCAAGCGGAGTGCCCCAGGGGTCGGTCTTGGGGCTGCTTTTGTTCAACATCTTCATTAATGATCTGGATGATGGGATCGATTGCACCCTCAGCAAGTTTGCGGATGACACTAAGCTGGGGGGAGAGGTAGATATGCTGGAGGATAGGTCCAGAGTGACCTAGACAAATTGGAGGATTGGGCCAAAAGAAACCTGATGAGGTCCAACATGAACAAGTGCAGAGTCCTGCACTTAGGACGGAAGAATCCCATGCACTGCTACAGACTAGGGACCGACTGGCTAAGCAGCAGTTCTGCAGAAAAGGACCTGGGGATTACAGTGGAAGAAAAGCTGGATATGAGTCAGCAGTGTGCCCTTGTTGCTAAGGCGGCTAATGGCATATTGGGCTGCATTAGTAGGAGCACTGCCAGCAGATTGAGGAAAGTGATTATTCCCTATACGGCACTGGTGAGGCCACATCTGGAGTACTGTGTCCAGTTTTGGGCCCCCCACTACAGAAAGGATGTGGACAAATTGGAGAGAGTCCAGCGGAGGGCAACAAAAATGATTAGGGGGCTGGGGCACATGACTTATGAAGAGAGGCTGAGGGAACTGGGCTTATTTAGTGTGCAGAAGAGAAGAGTGAGGGGGGATTTGATAGCAGCCTTCAACTACCTGAAAGGGGGTTCCAAAGAGGATGGAGCTCGGCTGTTCTCAGTGGTGGCAGATGACAGAACAAGGAGCAATGGTCTCAAGTTGCAGTGGGGGAGGTCTAGGTTAGATATTAGGAAAAACTATTTCACTAGGAGGGTGGTGAAGCACTGGAATGGGTTACCTAGGGAGGTGGTGGAATCTCCACCCTTAGAGGTTTTTAAGACCCGGCTTGACAAAGCCCTGGCTGGGATGATTTAGTTGGGGTCGGTCCTGCTTTGAGCAGGGGGTTGGACTAGATGACCTCCCGAGGTCTCTTCCAACCCTGATATTCTATGATTCTATGAATTGATCCCGAGTCTCCTGCTTGACACTACTGCTACTGCTGAAGGAGGAAACAGCTTAAACTGGAAGAGACAAAGGGGACCATTATAAAATCAAAATGACATTGTACTGATTCCTCCTGAGCAGTTCTAAACGTAGCCACAGGAAAGGCCCTTCTTTAGAGGCAGTTTGTATTCTTATAGGAGGCGGAGTGGAAACAGTATGGCAATCTACGCCAGATCCTGCACATCGTAAAGCACAACTCACTACACTTTCCCACGTGTGCTGGCTAGCTGTTATCAGTGCTCCCTGGTGCAGGCGTGGGCGGCAGCTTCCCTGGTCAAAACGGAGTGCAAACAAAACCAGTGCAACGCCTCCTGACTCTCGTATCAGTATGTGGCTCCTTGCCATGCCTGCCACGCTGCCAGACACAGTGTAAAGAAAACCGAGTGGGATAAGAGATTCTAACCATGACAGCTAGTTTTAAGATGAGTAAGTCACAAAAAATGAAAGGTCTCTCAAATATAGTCATCCACAGAACAGTTTTCCACCACACAGGAAGCTGGTGTTTTGACAGAGCAGGACTCTGAAAGGCAGCTCCTTTTTGAATGCAAAGGGCCATTTCACAGTTGTGGTAAGGCAAGTTCTGTTTTGTTTGAAATTAATTTTAAATAAGGTTTGTCTTACAAGTAGCAGCCTTAGTTTTAAAATTCTAGTTCATTAAACAGACAGACACTCCAAGAGTCTGGTTTTGCATGTATTCAAATAGGAATGGCGTTTCGTGTGCCCAACAGAACAGAGCTCCTGCTGGGGAAAGTCACGACAAGAGCAGGTGTCACGAGGAGACTGAAAGAGACAGGTAATTCAAAAGGCCATTTTGAAAACGAACTTTTCAATCAGTGTTTACTAAATGAAATCCCTCTACCTAAAGATCCTGTGCACTAATCACTGTACTTGCTCTGTAAAATCACAGGGGCAGCTGGTGTGATGCACGCTTCACATTGTAAGTTAAAGCCCAAAGAACCTGGCCTCCTTAGCTTGAAATGTAAAGCTGCACCATACTTATTTCTCAGCTTGGGAAGCTGCTGTCAAGCTCATGCGGCTGCTGCTCCATCCAAAGGAGGGGAAAATGAAAGGAACTGGCATGCAGCGAGCATTCGTTATCTGCAGACTTTTCTCCTACTGCTTGAAAATGGAACACAAACAGCAGGAGGCTTGCAACGTTTATTGCGAGGTTTCATTTTGGAGGCCGAGGGAAGGAACAAGAGCATGAGTAAGCGGATACTAGGATGCTCTGCAGTTACAGGCATGAAAGAAACTAAAAGTAACACTCCATGCCCTCTGTCTTCCCCCTTAGCTCACTCGCACCTACAAACAGGGACTTCTAGGTATTCATTCACAGATTCCTACAATGTTTTCATCCCACAATTTCTGATTTATAATGCAGTTATTCAGGGTACCTGTATTTTTCACTGCCAGCAAAAGGAGATGGAATTGCACTAGTTAAATTAAGCCTCCTAAGTTAGCAGCAGAAACAGACAGTGCCCAAGCAGAGTCTAAGATTGGAACAGGATCAACACTGTTAATGTACGGAAGCCTCAGACTCTCTGGGTCTGTACATTCACAGGCATAGGGCCGCTCCATGGTTTGCAGCTGACATGTGCTCAAAATCCCTCGGACTTTATTACCCACGAAAGCGTATGCCCAAATAAATCGGTTAGTCTTTAAGGTGTCACCGGACTCCTCGTTGTTTAAATAGATTTTAGTTAGGAACTTAAAATCAATTTTAAAAAGGGATGAAAGCCCTTCTTCTAACTGCCCCTTTTAACAACAATCATCCGGCAACATTAAAAAACTGCCAGAGAGAAGAAAGAGGCCCAGAAAAAGTCCTGGTCACCCAGCAGCACATAGATTATGCAGACTCATCAGAGGGTCTCATCCCCTTGAGGTCAGACCCTCGGCTGGTGCAAACTATCACAGCTCCACTGACTTCCAATATCTGAAGTGGTGATGGGGGTGTCGAGGAGCGGAACATTCTCCCTTGGGACTGGCACGGAGCTGATGCCCTGGCGTATCGTTAGGGGCTGCTGAAGAGGCTGTAAACCTCATTCCTTGGCTGTGTTAAAGATCCCATGGCCCTTTTTGCAAGGCTCTGGTTTGAAAGTCTTTGCGGGTGAAAGATCCCGTAATCCCTTATATTCAGACACATCTGCAAGCCTGCCCTCTGGGGCCTATCATCATCTGCTTCAGCTGAACTTTGTCTACAACAACTCAAGTTTTCATGGCGTCATACAGCCTTGACAAAGCCTGTCCTCCCCCACCTTGCCCCCCCCCCCAACCAAAAGCTCTTACCACGAGGGTTCGCAGACAGAGGGTCCCAGCTGGAGCGCGAGGGTCCAGAGCAGCGACAAGATCCCACACTTTAATTTTCCTGGCGAGGAAAGAGGGGACAAGCACCAAAGCTTTGTCACAGAGAAAAGTGTCAATAGTTCACCAGCAATTAAAGTTAACAGCTTAGCTAATACATCCAGAACCACAGAGACACCTTTCTCCTCTTGACACCTGGCTCTCACATGCTCTCTTGGGTAAAGCCTGCTGATCTTACAGGGGGAAGTATATGGTTACCATACAAATGAATTACATAAAAAAGCAGGTGACAGTAACTAATGTAGAAACCCGGGTGAAGGTTAATGTAGACACTTACTGCTTAATGGCAAATGGGCCAAAGGCAATGAAACGGAGGGATCACAGCTGTGTGAGTGCATGTGGGTTTACACACAGATAATGTGACACATTATATAAAGCCTCTTGTTGGACAAGAAGAAAAACGTGTCTAAGTCTGCACAGCCTGGATTCATCCCCTCCTCCTACTGGTACAAGCGCGTCCCTTCCTCCTAGAAAGTAGGCGGGCCGGCTAGGATTGCTCCACCTGTGCCAACTACTGCTATGGGCAGCCACAGGCAGGTTGCACAAGAACCACGAGAGCGCAAGCATTTCAGAGAACAGGACACGTTCGGTGGGGAGGAAAAGGCACGTCTCCACGTCAGCCCAGGCATGCCACTGCACTGGTATCCGGCTTGCTAGAGGTTTGGGGTTTAGCTAGAAAGCTGGGGGTGATGACACCAATGTCTTTAGCATTAGACTGCACCAAATCGTGATGTCAGATTTATTACAGAAACTCAAACGGGGCTGGGCTGGAGATTTCCCTTGTCCTTAAGCCAGACCGTCTCCCCTAGAGTTCAATCACATGCGCACCTCCCCTGCACAATGTAGTGACTATCTCGTAGTATGAAGGGTGCTAACAACAGGATGGGGGAGAATGAAGTGTGGGGAACCCACGCACCCCAGTTTAAACCAGTCTGCAGGCTTAGGGATTCTAGACACTCGTAGAGGGACCCCCGCCCAGGAGAAGGAAGCTGACTTTGTGGCATAGGGGACATGCTATCCAAATTAGCTACACAAGACCCCAGTGTAGCTCAGAGTTATTCAAGCCTGGAAAGAGAAAGTCAGCTCTTCCCCAAGGGAGCCTGGACACCAGCAATGTACCAGGAAGCCAGCCCACCAGAGCAAATACAACCTCCGAGTGAAGAAAGCCTCTTCCCCCTGCCACAGAAATCTGGCTAGCTGCAGTGGAGAGTGCTGGAAAAGGACCCTGCTCTTTGGAGTCCCTTTCACAGCGCAAGCAGCAATGCTTGGTTAAGCACATTGCCCTAGATTATCGACAGGAGTTTCCAGACCAAGACACTCACTGGGCACTTTTCAGTCTGCCTGTTGTACTTTGTTGCCTTCTCTGACTGGCTGTGCGTCTGCTCATTCACTTCTCTATACTACTCAGTTATGTGGTGAACGGCAGCAGCTGTGCGGCAGTGAGAACCACCTGGTTACACTACACTACAGGGGCAGGTCTTGAGATGTTCGCCCAAATACATCCCCCCTTCCCCACGCACACCCCAACACCTTCCCTTGGCTCTGAGTGACCTGGTTCAGCTGAGCTCGCACACAGCAGGTGCTTCCAGTTACGCGACGCCTGTTACAAGTCAGTGGGAGTTGAGGCCTGTCCGGCAGTTTGAAATTGTACCCCACCAGGTGGGTTGCCAGTGACAGGGGACCAGCTCCATTGTTTACATTGAGGTAGTTCCCAGAGCCTCCTGTCCCACCAGGATCCCACCAGGCTGAACACACACAGGTACAGTAAGTTTCTGTCCCAAAGAGCTTACAGCCTAAAGAGACAAAACCCAGACGAGGGGCGGGGGGAAGGGATCTACCACACAAGCGAAGTGACCAGGGACGATGTACGCATGTCTTAGTTCTATTGATCTATCTGTTATTTAGTTCATTATGGGGCCAACTGGCGTAGAAAGAAGGCAATAAGTAGATGCAAAAGAGGAGGTCACAAGGAATCCTGAGGTGGAGGCGTGGCCGGCGAGAAACATGGAAGCTCAGGGAGAGAGACGAGCAGAGGAGTTGGTGCAAATAACCAACTGGCAGAGCAAAAATACCGTCCAGAGCTCGAATAGTAAAAGTAGTTTGCTGTCACCGCTGGTGTCCGGGAGCTGTGAAGTTCTTTCCAGGAGTTGTGGGGGAACAAAGGGGCTTGGCTGGGTCTCTCCCTGCTCTATTACTGGTACGTCTGACTGTTGCTGGGGAAGTCTCTGTTTTGGAAGGCTGGCTCCGCCCTGGAACGTCTTGCTCCATTTCCTCCAGGATCTGACAGGGTGGAGAAAGGGGCTGTTGGGGGATAAGTGGAGAGGTCTGCCACCCTTTGGTTAGAGTCTAGCTCAGGTAGGGCATTACTGCTAATGACTCAGGCGCCACACAAAATGCAGAGGGGCAGAAGGGGAGCCTATGGGAAGACTTGCAGATCCAGAGGAAACACTCTTTATGAAGCTGTCCTGTATCGTGTACACTGCTGTTGGCAGACCAGCACTAGGGTAACCACTTACCTCCACATGTAGGGCAGAAGGGGAAGGGAGCAAGCTAGACATGCACGCACAGGGATAGCTCAGTGGTTTGAGCACTGGCCTGCTAAACCCAGGGTTGTGAGTTCAATCCTTGAGGGGGCCATTTAGGGATCTGGGGCAAAAATCTGTCAGGGACGGTACTTGGTCCTGCTGTGAAGGCAGGGGACTGGACTCGATGCCCTTTCAAGGACCCTTCCAGTTCATATTAAAAAAACAAACAAAAAACAAACAGCAGGAATTGGGGGAGCTGTAGAAAAAGCAGCTTCAGGTCTGGCCACTGCTAAACACGAGACACAGACCTTATGGACTCAGTGCTCTGATCTACTACATTCCTGGGCAGAGAACTAGCTGATCTGGTTGTCAGTGATTCAAGCATGAGGAGATCTGCCATGTGAAACTGCTGGAAAACACACATCACAGAAGACCCGTTCCAGAAAAGGGAATGTAACGCACTTCTCCTATATTGGCCATAAGTGTGAGAACAGAACAACTAACAACGGGTTTAATTTTTTTGAAGGGGGTGGGGGGGGGGAGAAGAGGGATGCTCTGTGTCTGAACCTCGTTAACAATCTCACCCATCATATGCCCCGCTGACTATCCTCTTGTTATCGAAGCGTATGCATCTCACCAACTCCTCATGGCCTTCCAGTACTCGTAAACATGCCCCGCACTCTATATCCCATAACCTGGAAGAGATTAGGAAGAAGAGGAGAGAAGGTCTGACAATCTATTATTGCAATGAAATGTTTGGTCTCAGACTATAATTGGCCAACGGGTTCTTTGGAAATAAAGATTCTGATGGTGCTAATGGGGAAGATCTTGAATTCATCACCCCCCAACCCACCACTTTTTCCCTGCAGCTCAGTTGGAGCACATTGTTCAAAGAAAACCCTGTTATGTTACGTTCAGGTTCTAGTGGGTCAAGTGATTTGACACATGGCAAACCAGCAACTCTGAATAGTTGGCGCTGGCTCCTAATCTGTTCCATCCCCTTGCAGCTCTGGTGGAGGACGCACAGCCCCACTGCCGCAAAGCGCCTCTCTCCACCGAGGGAACAGCTGCAGTTTGAGAAGGGCTCAGCTTGGTGGGATGTTTTACACAGAGGCAGAGGGGTAGCCTTAGTGCATAGAGGGGCTGGCAGAATGATTCCTGTTTTAAGGCCAGAGAAGCCAATAGATCATCTCGCCTGAACTCCTGTAGAACACAGGCCAGAGAATTTCACCCAGTTACCCCTGTGTTGAGGCGAATAACTTGTCTTTGACTAAAGCAGGTTCCAGAAAGGCATCCAAGCCATCAAGAGATGGAGAATCCACAGCTTCCTTTGGAAGCTTGTCCCAATGCTTAATCACCCTCACGGTTAAACACTGGTGCCTTATTTTTAATCGGAATTTGTCAGGCTTGAACTTCCCGCCATTGGTTCTGGTTATGCCTTTCAGTACTAAATAAAGAGTCCTTTAATATCCATTAGTTTCTCCCTGTGAAGGGACTCCTACACCATGATCAAGTCACCACTTGATCTGTCTTCTCTTTTCTCTACGGATAGTTTAGTTGGAACAATGAAATACCCTGGCCTCAATGACTCCCTGTATTGAGTTATTGGGTTTAAATGCTTTGAAACATGACGGGCCAGTTCCTCAGCTGAAAAACCAGGGCAGCCTTGGTGATGTCAATGGCGCTATTTGACTTGCACCAGCTGAAGAGCTGACCTGAAATCCCACCCAAATCGTTTTCAGATAGACTCTCTCTCTCAGGAGACAAACTTTAATTTCCTAGCTCTTTTGTACGCTCTATATTTACAGAACTGGAAAATCATTTAACACACTCCCTTTTGAAAAACAATTCTTAGGGATTCTAAAGGTTTTCAACCTCTAGGACATCAAATTTCAGAAGTTACAAACTTCAAATTTCACATCATGTTTTATCCAATTGAAGGTCAACATCTTGTATCTCAAGTAAATTAAAATCAAACATACATCAAGTCATCCACATAGATTACTCAGTAAGCTGCCCTCTTATCACCTTCCCACAGATACCCACCCTCAAGCAATGCTTGTGGAAGGCTGGTGAGCAGGTAAACCTTTCACCACCCCTTGAGGGCCACTGGACTTGGGTTCAGCTAAGATTCACTGCCAACTTTCATGAAATTCTAGCACAATTTATCTATCAACTAGGAATTGTATTCAGTGTAAACATAAGAGTAACTGTATTCCTCTTTAGGTTGATTACTGTACTGACATTTTTGTTGGTTATTACGAGTGGTATTTTAGTTGATTTTCTAAATGCTGTGATATTTAACTATTTCCTACTCCCATTTCTTTTGGCTCTGAGTCTCAAAGTACTGTACAAAAAAGGATTTATTCAAATTCAAAGTGCATAATCTTTGCCGCACTTAGAGGCGTTTTAGAAAAACAGCACAATGTAATCACCCCCCCCCCATTTCACTGGGTAAAAGGAAGGAGTCAGTGATCCCTCAATCTGGCTGGTCCTTCTACTATGTCATGCCATCAAGCAGACAGCAGGCAAAATTTGGCCCAGCACAATTGGTTCAATCACCTTGTGGTGTCACAGACAGGAGAGTCAGCTTCCTGTGGGATTCAGAGTAGGAAAAGGTGGCTGGTTGTGGGGAAAAGCACCCAGCAAACAAAAGCCTCTGTATTCACCACTGACAACAGAGGACTGGTAAAAAAGGAAAGTAGATTGCTGCTGCTCAGAAAGTCCGTTCCCAAGTTTCAGCTGCAGGGCAAAGTCCCCCTCTAAACCAGCAGGTGAAGGGTAAAAGGGAGGCAGCCCGACCACCCATTTGTATGATCCAACCACTTACCACGGTCAGTTTCACATTGACTCAAGTGTACTGAACAACGCTAGTTAAGGAGATAATGGTACATCCGTCTAACCGCAGCTGCATGATTTACCAAGAAATTCCGACTCCCAGCATGAAAGGGGTTAAATCTCAGCCTGCAATTAGGGCAGCCAGGAAAGTGCAAGAGGGAGAAAACTGAACTTCGTGCTCTCATTCAGTTGTTCCAAACTATACCAGATGCCAAGCACCACAAGGGGAGTTTGGTGTGAGCCCAGGAGATTTCTGCAGAGGATTAAATGCTTCTTATTGCACATCTGACCCTTTAACTAGACACATAGGCCAAATAAAATATCACAAAAGGACATCATGCAAAGTGGTGCTTGCCAGCTCTTTCACACACCAAAACTGTCTAACCAGTCTGACTGGCTGATTAGTATGGCACTCTTGAGATAGGGAGGCTACAAGGCAAAGCAAGAAAAATGGCTTTCGATACCCCTCGTCAGTAGTTCACAGCATTCGATAGCAAAGGCAGCCCAGTTGCAGGAGAAATGGGCACGGACCATTTCGGTTATCTAACTTCGGCATGTCCCAAGTGAACTGGAGACAACGGCCTTGTTCTCGGTTCACGCACCGCGCGCAGAGCTCCCCGATGAGAACTTGCCTCTCACCTGATAGTGTTATCTGAAGAGCCACTCACTACTAGCCGATCTCTGTACTGCAGACACGCGATGCCTCGTTTGTGGCCATTTAAGGTGCGCACGAACTCGCAGGTACTAGTGTTCCAGACCTGAGATGGGGAGAGAAAACACACAGGGCCTAATTATTAAGAGGTAACTAACGGAGGGGAGGGACCTGTGAGAGAAACGAGTGTGTCCAGAATGTTCAAAATGTCATCACAATCTCGAGGTCACAAGTCAAATTCAAGACATTATTGCTGACGTAGGGAAAACTACCTTACCAGTGATATATGGCTATAGCCTTCTACAGTTAACAGACTGACTCCTCATACATAGAGCTTTTATCGTATTATATTAGGACTTGTCCCCAAATTAAACCATAGCACTTTTGAAACTAATTTACAGTTTATGTATGAATTGGCTTTTTTCTGAGTTTTAACATCACCAACTCTTATGTTCTCAGGACTCTGGTCATTCTTTTTGGTCAGCACTGACAAGTGCTGTAAATAAACAGCCTTCGAAATTTCTCACCTTTATAGTCCTATCACCTGATGCTGACACAATGTACTTGTCATCAAAGTCCACTACGTTGACAGCAGCTCTGTGTCCTACCAGGACCCTTCGCAGGGTAATGTCTGTCGGGGAAGCCATGTCCCAGACAGCAATGGAACGGTCTTTGGAACAAGTCACCATCATGCCATTGTTAAAGCGCAGGTGCAGTACTGCTTCGCAGTGGTGAATCAGCGTGTTTAGCATCTCGCCGGTATTTACGTCCCACACCCTGAAATTCACACAATATTTCAAACCAAGGGAAGGGAAAGAGGGTGAAAAAAATTACATTTCATTTTTCTGCAGGAAAAGAAAAATCAGGTCTTCGGTTCGATTACAAGCCAACACCACATACTAAACCTAGAATCTGCTGAATAGTTAGTTCATGACAAGATATAGCACATAAACCAGCTGATTACAAAAATATTAAAGGAGTCCAGCAGCCAAAAAACCTGCAATGCAATTAGCCCCATAAAAACAACACAGCAAAGCGTTTTGTAATTAAGTGACTGTGTAGTGCTGATGAAAGGTACCAGATTGACAGCCCTGGAGACTGAAGTCCCCTGTTAGCTCTGCCTGCAGCTCTCTCCACCCCCAAAGTTATGCCTGTCTACCCAGATCTGGAGAGACCCAGTGCTAGAGGCAAGTTCACCCCCAATGGCCCATTCAATCTTTGCCCTTTCTGCTGGGACTGCCAACAAGGGGCACAGTTTTCTATTGTAGCAGAAGGCCAGAGTATGCTTTTTCTTTGTAAGCAAATCTAAAAGAATCATTAAAAAAATTACTCTATTGGGTTAGATCGGGTTCTAACAGCAGCAAATTATTTATCCTGAACAGACACAAAGGAACACTACGACATTTCAGGAATGTGTTGACAAGGCACAAATTAATATAGAGTTTTTATGTCAATTGACCATTAATAGGTCTAGTCTATTACACACAAAGGATAACTTGTGGTTAAAAGAATCAGGTACATGCTCAATTTAAAGAGCTTCTATGACGTGAGTCAGGGATATTAAAGTTTAAAAAACAACACAGTTCCTTTTGGTGCATTGTTTGCGAAGGTCTTTACCTCAAGGCAAAATTCCTTCCAGCAGCACTATCATACCCTGAACCCCAGCTACACTAAACTCCAGCCGCATAATGGCTGTATTATCAAATAGCAAAAGGCTGCGGAAATTGAATCCCTCCTCCCTTAACGAAGCTTGCAATTAAACACGGCAGGGATGTGCAGGAGAGAAGAAATGTCACTCATGTTTATGAAATACAAATGGTTGCTTCATATGCTACAGTAACAATGCCCAGTCTGCTTTGGGTGCTCTAACCCATCATGAAACTTGGGCTGCAGCAACTCAGTCCTAAAAACCAGGGGTTTTTGTAGCGTGCATGCCACCTCCCATTAACCCCCCCTTAAAGCTACAGCTCTTCTAGTAGGCTCTGGAGACCTCCCTCTTGTCTTATTTGAAAATGCTGTGACGCTGGCAGAGCAGGTGCCAGCTCATGCGAAGGTCCCAATGTCTCAACTGAACACTGAGAAACATATACCTGGCATCAGTCTGGCTCACCTGTGTGTCCGTATTTTTCAAATAGGTATTAGAATTGTAAGAATGTATTTAGACTTTACTGAATGCTTGTGAGTGGCTGCTGGCATTAATCTCACATATAGCATCTGTATCCCTTATTGTAAGGCAATATTTGAGCGGTTGTATTGTGAGGCTCTGACACGCCATGAATCACCAGACAGGAGAGAGACATTAACTAGTGTGAAGTGCTGATCTCCAACCGAAAGCGTTAGGTCCTGTCCCACAGTGAAGGTCCATCGACACCCGACAGACGACTGTGGGACGATAAAGAGGACAAAAAAATGTTTGTTGTCCATCCCATCCCCCCACCCTCCATGAAGATGAGCCATGAAGTGGATTCCTCCCATCAGCTGAGCTTGCAGCTCAGAGCACATGGTGGGGAAGGGAATAAAACCCCCCTAAGAAGGAGGAACTGGATCTCTGTGCTGCTTGGACTCTGGCAGCAAGGTTTTTAGGCATAAGTAAGAGGTCCCCAGTGCCCAGCCCGGGTTAACCTAAAAGTTATACAGAGCTTGCTGATTATAGAAGCTTCAATTACTTTTTGACACTTAAGATTGTAACACAGTGATGCATCTATGTTCACCTGCTTTAACCTTGTAAATAACTCGTTTCCTTTTCCTATTTAATAAATCTGTAGGTAGTTTATTGGAGAATTGGCTACCAGCGTAGTCAGTGAGATCTAAGGTGAGACGGACCTGCGGTAAGTGACTGGTCCTTTGGGACGGAGTCATCCGAATATTGCTGTGATCCTTGGGGTAAAGCAAAGGCAGGCGCAGCTGGGTGGGGAGTTGGATCAGAGCACCCAAGAGGACTGTCTGTGACTCCACGTTTGGCTGTTACAGTGGCTGAAGAGTTCATCTCTGATATTTAGTTGGTTAAATCTAAGTATAGAACGCACAGCCAATTTGGGGCTTGTGCCCTGCTTCCTGACAGGGTGCCCGGAGGTTGGTACCCATGCTCTTGAGTCACTGCAGGCAGCGTTACACCTGCCATTTGGGATATGTCCACACAGCTCTGGGAGGGGGCTTCCTAGTGCAGGCAGGCAGACACGCTAGCTCTGCTCGAGCTCACACGCTGAAAATAGGAGTGAGGCCACAATGGCCCAGGCAGCAGCTTGGGCTAGCCCCTTGAGTACAAACTCCCCCAACTCCCAGGATATGTATTCAGGTGGGTAGTCTGAAGCGCTGCCTGTACCGCTGTGGTCATGCTGTGAAGTACACTAGCTGCTGTGTTGGAATACCTTGGTGTTTACCAAAGGCAACATTTGCTCTGCATGAGTCCAGGATAAGAGTTATTGCTGGCTTGGAAAATGTAACAGTAAGAAAGAAAGAGGGGATGAGCTCATTCCAACCTTCCTTTGAGTCACTGCTCCTCGATGGAAATGCGATTTGGTGAAAACACACATCGCAGCTGGAGTCTGTGCCCGTTCTTTTCAATCCGAAAGCTTAATTTACAACATTCCCATCTCTGCACAAAGGTATGGAAACCACATGCCTTCCCACTGCATTTATTTACAGGCATGTCTACAGTGCTCATCACTGAGTTATCTGAGCATCTCTGTTAGAACCAGGCATTGGCATTACAAAACCCTCCCGGGACAATCACACCCTCACATTGCAGAGCAACATAAGAATATCACTACATCCAGCAGACATCCGAAAAATGACAGGAAGAGCAGGCAGTAGATATATTCTTCAGGGGAGGCCTTTCTCTTGCACTCCTGGGGAGCCAGGTGTACTGCACTATGAGTGCGTGTGCATATATGCACCTTTATTTCCATCCATAAACAGCCCACACTTGATTACAGGTTATAAAGCACACAGCCGAATGGTAGGGGATAGCAGCTATGCACAAGGGCTCAAGTGAATCTAAAGAACTCAGCCTGAAGTTCACCTACTAGCACATGTTCTAGTGGTCAAGAATCACTGTCCCAAAGCCCTGCACAGATAGAGAGATTGGTAAGTAGTTCTGAGTAACCAATTCAATGAAAATCATGGAGTCCCAGGCTATGTAGACAGACATCAGTCTATGGTGGAAAGCACAAAGACATCTGACTCCAGTATGCAAAGGAACGAAGGCTGTTGACTACGGAAATGCGCCATTAGAAAATCAGCAGTATACAGAAAGGGCTGCCAAACTGAGCAGGAGCTGGTGATCTAATGATTTACCTGGGCAGGTGGCCCCTGAGATTTTATATTGGAGAAATGTTAAAATCCATCTGTATATCCAACTGGATGACGTCCTTCTTTTCAAGGGCTAAAAGTATTCCATCCTTGAGCCTCTGGGGTCAGTGCACATATTTATAGATACAGCGGGGAATCATAGAACTGGAAGGGACCTCGAGAGGTCATCTAGTCCAGTTCCCTGCACTCAAGGGAGGACGAAGTATTATCTAGACCACCCCTGACAGGTGTTTGTCCAACCTGCTCTTAAAAATCTCCAATGATGGAGATTCCACAACCTCCCTAGGCAATTTATTGCAGTGCTTAACCACCCTGACAGTTAGAAAGTTTTTCCTAATGTCCAACCTAAACCGCCCTTGCTGCAATTTAAGCCCATTGCTTCTTGTCCTATCCTCAGAGGTTAAGAAGAACAATTTTTCTCCCTCCTCCTTGTAACAACCTTTTATGTACTTGAAAACTGTTCTGTCCCCTCTCGGTCATCTCTTCTCCAGACTAAACAAACCCAATTTTTTCACTCTTCCCTCATAGGTCATATTTTCTAGACCTTTCATCATTTTTGTTGCTGTTCTCTGGACTTCCTCCAATTTGTCCACATCTTTTCTGAAATGTGGCGCCCAGAACTGGATACAATACTCCAGTTGAGGCCTAATCAGCGTGGAGTAGAGCGGAAGAATTACTTCTTATGTCTTGCTTACAATATTCCTGCTAATACAGCCCAGAATGATGTTTGCTTTTTTTGCAACAGTGTTACACTGTTGACTCATATTTAGCTTGTGATCCACTGTGACCCCCAGATCCCTTTCTGCTGCACTCCTTCCTAGGCAGTCATTGCCCATTTTGTATGTGTGCAACGGATTGTTCCTTCCTAAGTGGAGTACTTTGCATTTGTTCTTATTGAATTTCATCCTATTTACTTCAGACCATTTCTCCAGTTTGTCCTGATCAGTTTGAATTTTAATCCTATCCTCCAAAGCACTTGCAACCCCTCCCAGCTTGGTATCGGCTGCAAACGTTATAAGTGTACTTTCTATGCCATTATCTAAATCATTGATGAAGATATTGAACAGAACCGGACCCAGAACTGATCCCTGCGGGACCCCGCTTGTTACGCCCTTCCAGCATGACTCTGAACCACTGATAACTACACTCTGGGAACGGTTTTCCAACCAGTTATGCACCCACCTTATAGTAGCTCCATCTAGGTTGTATTTCCCTAGTTTGTTTATTGAAATGAAGTATTCTAGGCAAGTACCCAGTCTGCAGTTTGATCTGCCCACCATGGACTGGGAAACGACAGAGTCTTTCACATAGACCAGCCTTTTCTTTTTACTCAGAGTTAAACATAATGTTGCCCCATCCAATCTAAGTGCTGATTAAATGTCCAGGTAAAAGAGATGTGACATGAATTCTGGATTTGTAGAAATGGCAGGAACCAACAGAACTCCTAGCACCACAAACCTACGTGTGCAATATGCAGGGGTTGAATTTTAGGGTCACCTGCTTATGACTGGTGGCTTCAAAATGAGTTTAGGCAACCACAGAGAGGAGCCTGCAGCCACGGGAACAGGCGCATGAGTGCAAATGGTGCAGGAAAGGCAATCGCCGTAGCTTTGGGCCTGCTTCCAACAGTGCTGCTTGGAGCTGCATAGTTCATACTCAGGCAGAAAGAGGGGACCTCCTACCCACACCAGTACAGGGAGACCTATTCTTCTGGCCAAGCTTTATCCCTCTTCCCCAGCCAAGGGAGAAATGTCCCTCCCCCCCTTCCTGCTAGTTCACCAGCTGAACGTGTATTTCCAGATATTTTCATTTCGTGAAGTGAAATCATTACAATTTTGCCCACTCTAGTCTCCTGAACCATGCCTAGTGACCGTCCCATCCGGAGAGTAGATTCTAACGTGAACTGTCCAGCCTTGCAGCATGGGTTTGGCGATGAGTGAAGAGAACAAGGTCATAGAATGGTAAAAAAACATGTAGTTGAAATTTATTAAAGACACACAGGGGATCTAGCCAGGTATCTTGTGTTAAATCTAATGGAAGAGGCATGGCTAAAACCCCTACCTGGCTTTGAAAACTTAACCAAGGTCTTTAAAAATCTCTATCCCAGGGAAATGTGCAAATTCTTAGTAAAAATTCACAAAAGTCTCCTTAACCCAGCTTGGAAATCTCCAGCCTTTGCTTATTTTCCATTTCCCTGTGATAGGCAGCAAAACTTGAGTGGAAAATTGATTTTTAAACAAGGAGGGCTTCTCGTTGGAAAGGAGTTCACTGGAACTACTCAGTGAAAAAAGCTGAACAGAGAACAATTAAAAAAAAAATCTTTTCTGTACCGTCTGAGGGCACAAAGCTCAGTTTCAGAAGTACGTACCTGACGGTTGAATCAGAAGATCCAGTAATGATCACCCGCTCGTCATACTGTAGGCACAAGACGGAACCCGTGTGTCCAGTCAGAATTCGCTTGCATTCCAATGTATTCTTATCCCAGATCTAGGGTGGCAAACAGTCACAAACAGTCTGGTAAGTACCGGTAAGATGTTCATCACTGTATAAATGGTGCATGTAGCTGGGTTGGCTGTTTCGGTTTTTATTACATACTGTTTGTGGATCGAGCTTCCATAGTAGCACAGAATGCACTTTGTTATTCCACAGGCGCTTTGGTGCAATATAAAACATTCTTAATATCTCTGGTTTTAATATGAATACAGGCTCTACACTTCTCATCAGGGAACAGGGTAGCCTGTAATGACGGGAGGACCAATAATACTGCTAGCAAAGTCCATTCTATAAGGAAGCAGAGCGTTTCTTGCCAGGTGAGACAGATTTATACACTTTGCTGGGGGAAGGCTAGCTTGTGTGTACCAAAGAAAAACTCGCCTGGGCTAGTCCAGTGTTTCTTAACCTTTTTGACACCAGGGGCCAGCTTGCTGCCTTCCTAAACAGTGTCGGGGAGATCTCAGGGACTGGCACTGGTCCACGGACCAGTTGTTTAGAACCGCTGGGCAAGGGCACCTTCTAAAAAGTCTCTTACCAACTGCTTCCTCCCACACTGAAATTCGGACACAAGATTGTTCATGAAGCCTGCTTTACACACCCTAGCTTGGCCACCTCGGGGAGTTCTCACCTTGATAGTGTTGTCTCGCAGGCCACTTACTATCTTCTGATCGTCATACTGTAAACAATAAACCCCTTTGCTAGTTTCACTCCGGCAGTGGATTCTCTGTAAACTGTGCCTTCCACACCGCCAGTTTGATTCTATTGTCTTGGGGATGGGGAGCAGAAAAGAAAGAGAAGCAAATTAGAGAAAGTCCTGTTACATTTCCCAACAAGGAAGCCCATTAGATGATACAGCAGTCTCCCAAGGGAAGTGGCGGTGGGGGCACTATTGCTAGAGTCATTTATATGACAAAGTGCTGGAGAATATAGCGTGGTGAATGTTGTTGCACGGGCCATGTTGGGGATGCACAAGCTGACCTAAAAGGTTTTTTCCATCTCTAACTTCCGTGACTCTGTGGAGCCTTCAACAGGAGGACGCTCAGTGACTAAAGAAGAGCGAAAGGTGGTATCCACCTAGATCTAGACGGTGATTATAAGGCCCCCGTGATCACAGTAGCTGAGCACCTCTCCTGCAATTAAGAGTTCAAGCATAGACAAGAGGTGGTACCTTGCACAGAACCATTTATGAGGCAGCAGTGCCACGTTTGATGCCCTTCTCTTTGAATTTCGTGGACTGTCCTCTCCGGCAATGCCTGGGTCTCCCTGGCTCAGCTCTGGCACCTCACCACAGCCTCTCACTAGGCCTCACTATTTTTTCACAGAAAGAGCCATGAAACGCCTGCACGCTGTCCAGCTGCTGCTATACACCATGTATGCTGTGCAGATTCACCAGAATCTGCTACTTTAAATACGTCTGACAGCTCATGCAATTTACATTCAGGGAAGGGAGTCGCTAAGCCCTATGATCTTCATGTGATAACGCCAAAACATGTGAATTTGGGGCAAAACATACATATGCCATGTGCAACGTTTATTGAAACCAGTGTGAGGGTTTTTGCTGACATTTTAACAAATCAGAAAGTTAAAAACCACACAAAATGAAATGTTTGTTTCTTACCTCTATGTCCTGTATAATTTTTGGATAAAGTGCTCTATAGAAGGAGTTGGGTGGGGCATTCCCATCAGGTGGCTTATTTTTAAATAGATACTGTCCCCTGGAACACAAGAAACATTTCCCATTCAACACAGTCCATGTTTCAGCAGTGTTGGGCAAAGGTTTCTAAGGCACTTTACTGGATACATTGCTGACTGTAGGGGCAGGGGACTGATTAGCATTCAGGCATGGTGGACTCAGTAAGCACTGTTTGACCTGCACTGTGACTGGGTTGTATTTGGATACGTGACAAATTCAAAACGAGTATTCGCAGACACCTAGGGAATTGCAAATGTGTTATGCATACAGGCATGAGCCACTATTGCCCAGTCTGTGAGTTATAGTGGTTCATACGTCCTTTGGCTTGTGTCACTTTTAAAAGAAGGGGATCAAACCGTCACAACTGCCAATGGCGGGGGGGGGGGGGGGGGGGGGGGGGAGGGAAGGGGGCTGCAGGGAAGGCCAGCAATGGGAGAAAACTAAGGAAGGCAGGCCCCCCAAAAATATGTTACGTGCCCAAGGCTTGAAAGCTGTGTTAGCAGGAGTGACATCTGCTTTGGCACATGGACATTTTACGGCTGCTGCTAGATTCTGGTAAGCAACATTTCATTAGTGGCTCCTTCCTCATTTCAACACAGATTTGGAATACTCACATCCCAAGCTAGATTTTTGCTTCAAAAAAAATTCAGTAAATGGCAATCACTTCCTGCTGTGTAAAGAACTTTAATTCCTCATCCTGAAGTTAAGAAGTCACCAAACACGGTGTGGAAGCTAGTAAACCCCACCATGGGCGTACTAACTGCTGTTTTGCCTGGCAACATGCCTTGCAAAGTGGAGATAGGCACAAATGCCTCGGAGTGTAATCCTGGCATCAGAGGCATGGCGTTTACACTGGGCCAGCTCTCTGCTCCTCCCCGCCACTACTCCATTACAGCATGATTAATTGTTCCAGATCTCCATGTGCCTTTCTCGCCTGTCCCTTCCTCACAGTACACCTTGAAACTATAGTACACCTTGACTGCTTGGGCCTCAGCTATACGTAGCATGAAACCTGCATCAGAAAAGCTACAAAAATGATCTGAAGCTTTTTGTTTACAAGGACAACACAATATAGTGCTAAACAAGCATTTGAAAGACACACAAGGGGAACGGCATATATTTAAATTCCCTAAGAAATTAGTTTAAACACATGTTTTGGGGCAGAGCAGATTTTTAGACTATAAGAAGTATCAGCCATTAACTGCACTGGAATGAAGGTTTGTGTTTCCAGTCTCACTCTCCAGGATGTGTGCACGTGACCAGGTAGGCACATGCATGCATGCGGGCAACTGTGAGTACAGGTCCTAATCATTGCAGAGAGCAGTTGGTGCAGTATTTGCACACGTGGAGTGCTTTTAGGAGAGTGAAGATTAATCACAAGGGCAATGTTTTGAAGACTTCTTGGGGAGTACATGCTTTGGAGGTGGGGAGAATGCTTAAGACAGACCCTGGAATATTTAGGTTACATCTGGGTTGGCCTTCAAATAGAATCAATTGTGGTTTAGCTAAAGAAGCGCTTGGAATTTTCACTGCATCCCAGGTGAGCTCTCATGCAAGAGTTTCTCTTATAAAAGTAACTATTTCATGTCCCCGCCCCAACTGAGGACAATAGGACACTGCCGGGGTGCCCCAAAGACAGAGCCTGAGGGACATGTAACCATGTTCTCTCTCTCTCTCTCTATATATATATATATTACTGTAGGGTAAAAGGAACTCAATCAGCTGCAGGTTTTGATGACCAGAAAACCGAGTGTATTTTGGTCACTATCTAGACAGACACAAACAGTGCTCAGTTTTTGTTTTTTTTTAAATAGTAAATTTTCTATAAATGCTTGTGCCAATCCATGTGACCCCACTTATAAGCGAATGAGACCAGTCATTATCATTCTGAACTGTCCATCTATTCACTTCCCTGTGCCACCCAAAGCACTGATTCCAAGCTACGAAGTGCTTTATGGCAGATCCCCAAGTTAAATTAGATATTGCCTGCCTCTTTTCCCCACCCAACTGTTCTTAGGGTTAACTTCCTCCTCCCTATCAAAGGGTATTCTCCCTGGGACTACATGCTTGGGGAATTCCATCCTGCAACCAACTTAAACAGGGGACAGTGCAATCCTGGGGGTGCAGCATGATGATGGGGGAGGAGGGGTGTACTGCTGACCTTCAAATACTCATATGATCAGCAATGGGCATCAATGTAAAATTCTAAATATAGAATGAACTATAGGACTGGAGATAATCATGATGTTTCTCTAACATTTCCGCCTGTGTCTGCAGCTAATAGTGTCACGGAAAGGAGTACTGAACACTTCTGATAATCACTATGCTCCTGGAAGCAGATTTGCATAGTATTTAAAGGACAGTTCATAATCATGATTTACTTGTCTTTATAATCAGCGACAAACAGTGTAACAAAATTAACTTCAACACACAACAGAATTTTTGCTTGCAACTTTGTATCTTTTTTCCTTTTTAATAGCAACTAAAATGCCTAAGCTGTCACTTTTATCTTGTTTATGAAATATTCATACCCAGCTTTTTTGCAGCTAACATCCTGGGGACACCCTTGGAAAAGAAAATTATGTATTAAAGGGCTTACCCTAGAGAGGGAAAGTTCTAATGAAGTGTTAACAGAGCAGCTTCAAACTCAAGTGAGACCCTCGGAAGGCTATTCCAGCTGATTATTAACTAATCTATCTGCATTTCTAGCGTCCCCTACTCTCCACGGTACCTACCCTCGGCTTCCAGTTTGAGGATTGCACAGATACAGCGTAAAGTGAAAGTCTGCTGAGGAAACACTAATTCATACCACACGCCCCAGCGCCTAATCCTAAAAATGTTTTTCTGCTCTGAACTGCTGATGAGTTTATTGCCCTTCCTAGGCATATGCAGCGTCTTAATATGAAACTGAATGAGAGGCTGGGTGTACAGATTCTAAGTTTTTCTCTCTCACTCATTACTGACATACTGGAGCACCTATGAGATGAGCATGGAAAAACATGCCAAAAACTGGGGGTAGAACCAAAAATGATCAAGCTCTCCAATCGCTGAATTTTGCTGCAAACACATGTCAAACTAGAAACAACAGGGGCTGACTACAAAGGTAGCATTACACACACACCATCCACTGTCCTAGGTGGGTAAGAAGCTGAATTTGCAGTTCCCTCACCATCCTCTCCTCTCTGCCAACCCTCTCCACAGCGAGTCTGTCCTGACCATTCTCTCGATAAGTTTCTTCCACAGCATGCCATCAGATGTCACCCGGTACCACTCCTTACACACCAGCTCGGCAGCACATAACGATTTGGCATCCAGGTACGACAGGATGTTCTCGGCAATGTGATCCAAACCCCGGGCTGGAAAAAAAAAAAAAAAAGAAAAAAGAGAGCCATTGGGGAGATCGTAAGACAGTTTAAACAACTCCCCTTGTCTATTATGGAGATGCAGTCTCTTCCCTGTATCAGAGGGGTAGCCGGGTCAGTCTGAATCTGTAAAAAGCAACAGAGGGTCCCTGTGGCACCTTTAAGACTAACAGAAGTATTGGAGCATAAGCTTTCGTGGGTGGAATGCCCACTTCATCAGACGCAAGTCTCTTCCCTATCACTGCTCATCCATTCCCCTGTACAGAGAGTTAGACCAAATTCACAGAAGAGTATTTGCTGCTAAGTTCAGGAACAACCAGTGTTTTCCCAACTTGTTTTGGATCAAAAACAGCAAGACATTAAAAATAATAAAGAATCCAGGAAGTCATTCCAATCTATTTCTATGGGTTTTAGCACTAGGGGGATAGTCTATGGATGGCATTTCCAACTCAGCGATGCAGCCCCCAAAATCTCTCTATATTAGGACCATTTCTCATCTTGCTGCTACAGCTGTTCTCATGTTCCAACGGCTCAAAAGCTGTTTTTGCTAAAGTAGTAGCTTTTGAAAGTAATGAAGAAAAAAATATATATTCCCAATGTGTACCCTGAAGGGTAGTGGTACCTTTAGACATGGGAGGGGGGAAGGATACGCAGATGCATGGAGGAGAGAGAGTCTAAGGAGAGAGTGAAGCAGGTTTGCTGGTATCATTTATTTCAGTAGGTGGAAGAAAGCGTACACCGACACGGTGTCATTTGCAAACATTTTCCAGGGTGAATACCAGAAGGGTTGCTTTGTGTTTCAATAGCACTGCAATCACATGGAAGACAATTGACCCCAAAAAATAAAAGGTCACTGGACCAATAGCCTGGTTAACACCCCAGTGGCTCTATAATAGGATAAAATGTTGGACTATAGTGGGGGGTTCGCCCGGTGTTGTTTAAAGTGGATGGGTTTAGCCATTAAAACTCTCTACCACCCCCTCAAACCTAATCTGCACAGAGGCCTCAGAGGAATAAGATGCCTATAAAATAACACGGTTGCCCTAATAAAGCTTCTCTTGGCTGTTGTTCTAATTCACAAGTGAGACAGCAACAGTGAGGGGGTCATTGCTCTTCACAGATCACATTTCAGAGGCTTCACAGAAGCTGTAGTTCAGAGGAGTCCGCCCTCCCCCAAGCACAAAGTTCTGCCCAACAAAGAGCAAGCATGCCAGATCGGTATTACATGCAACTTCCCTCCTCTCCCTAACGAAACCCACTAAACATCCGGAGTGGGATTAAATTCCTCTGTTCTTCCTCTTATTACAACAGTCTCAAAGACTGAGCCCCATTTGTCAGCAGCACAGAAGTAGGAAGCAGTAAATGAATTGTGACTGGTTGTGTCACATGTCCATACTTAAGCAGATGGAGAGTGAGGCATGTATCAGCTGATTCTTATCAGAGTTCACAGGACACTATCTATTCTAGCTTTTGTGTCAGACTGAGAAGTTAAAAAAGATCTCAAAATTGGCTCCTCGTCCATGAAAACGATATAACACAGCATGGCTCCTGATTCCTTCCCTTATTCCTAATGCAACAGTTTAAAATGTAGCCACATGCAGAGAAACAATTTTATGATGCTTTGGGCCCGATCCTCCACTGCCCAACGCCTCGTATAATTTACACCTGTGCAAAAAAGAGCATGCAGATGACGACACAAGGTACCAGGTGGTGGAGAAAGAGGCCCAAACGTGTCTAGAGTTTGGGTGCTATATTGCAGTATTAACCCACCAGGGTTCCCAACTGTACAGTTTCAGTTTATACACATGGATATTACACATGTAGCTTTACAAACTCCCTGAAAGAAGCTGGATTGACAGTTCTGAAGGCTGAAGTCCTCTGTTTATCAGCTGAGCAGGTGCAGGATGGGGAGTGTTTCCTCTGGCCACCCCTTATTCATGTGTCACAAACCTCATCTAGTGGGGAAAGGTGATGTCAGTTTGCATTCCCACGCCCTGAAGCTTCCACTGACACCTTAGACACATACATGGACACTGTGTGCCCACCCCTAGAGTCGACACCGGTAGGTTCAGGTGAATATATTGAGCTCCATAGGAATTCTGCACAAGGAAAAGAGGAAGGAAGGAGAAAGGACGGCAAGAAATGGGCCCACGCTGTAGAAGTTCTGCTTGCTGATTCCTAATCAATTCTCCCCGATCATCCCTCTTGTTCACCTCCCCTGACTCGCAGTCCCCAAATGAAGCCATCCTGAGTTGGTTTTTAATTTTCATTGTTGTGATATGTGTATTTCAATCACAGTAGTTGACCCAGATCACTGATCTTAGACCACTCTTATAGAGAGAAAACTGACCATTTTCAGAGAAAACTACCATCATACAACCTCCCTGCCTTGCTTCTACTACAAATGGGGAAAAAAAAGAAAAAAGGAAAAAAACACCCTTAACTCTGACCTCCACAGCACCAGGATAAAAATCAAACAATTTTACTCCAAGTTAATAAATGTGTCTGACTGATGGATAAGAGGCAGTACTATGTGGGCAGAGTAGGTGGTCTGGTGAACCTGAATGAGAATTTGCCCACTTTCAGAGTTTTGGGATGTATTTTGTGTGTGTGTGGGGTGGGGGCAAGGGGATGAGAGGGATAAAGTAGAGCTTGAACTTAACTTCCAGGCTTTTTAACGTGTTTTTGTGAGAGAGCTACAAAGCTCTCCTGTGGGTTCTTTTTAGTTGAGGTGACACATTCATAATTCCAGGTTAGTCACATTTTTTTCCTGAAAATTTCCTTAGATTTTAAAAAATGTTTAACTATTGCCCGATAAGGAGAGCCACCGCAGTCCTTGCAAGCTGCCCACAGATGAACACAATTCTGTTCCAGACAGCCTTCTGCCTCCTCACATGGCTTCTCACCTTCTATTCTCCTTACCGGAATCCTTGTCCTGCATGTGACATTTCTGCTTGTGCCCTGTATAGACTGAAACTACATTTTCCTCTGAGAATCCTTGTAATTAAGGCCACATGCGTTGGGATATACACACTTTGAAAACACGCACATTGATGCACATACATGCACAGTTACCCCGTGTGTTTATTTAAATAACTGACTAACTGGTATCTACATGCGGCAAACTAGAGAAAGGCCCTTCCCAGCTGTTCAGTACCACACAAAAAGTGAAGTTTGAAGGTAGATCTATTTTAAGGATACAAGTAGTGAATGACAAGGAAAAAACAGTTCCTTATCTGTACTGTAACTGTTGTTCTTTGAGATGTGAGTGCAGACATGCATTCCACTCAGGTGTGTGTGTGCCCAGCTCACCAACGGTGGAGAACTTTGCCTAGTAGTACCCATAGGAGCGGTGCTCATGCCGTGTGGCCCTTCACCTCCCCTGTCTACTCAAAAGCAGTGCCATCCCAACTCCCTTAGTTCCTTGACACCAAGAGTAGAGACTCCGATGCAGAGGGAATGGAGGGTGGGTCAAGAAATATAAATCTGCACTCACATCTTGAACAACAGTTACAGTGCAGGTAATTAATTGCTTTTTCTTCGAGTGGTTGCAGATGTGTATTCCAATCAGGTGACTCACAAGCAGTACTTACATGAGGTGGAGCTTGGAATCTACTTAAAGGACTGCGGGACTGCTTTCCCGAGGTTGCATTTGACCTAGACACAGTGGTAACTGTGCAGTGCTTTGTAAAAGTATGTACAGAAGATCAGGCGGTGGCCCTGCAGGTGTCCAATATCAAAACATCTCTGAGGAAAATGTTGTATGACCCTGTAATCTCAGCAGAGGCACCGTCTGAGCTACTTCACATGCAGTTGTAATGCAGGAAGTTATCCACCCGGAAATCGTCTATACAGAGACCGCCTGACCCTTCACTGGATCCACATAGGGAGATGAAAAGATGAGGTGGGGCCCGAAAAGCTAAGTCCTCTCTAGGTAAAATGCCAAGCACGGTCTCACATCCAGTCTGTGAGGTCTCTGCTCGTCCGTGTTGGACTGCGCGTTAAGAGAGAACACCGGTCACTAAATCAGGAGGTTAAGGGCAAACCGTGAAACCGCTTTAGACAAAAATTTTGGATGTGGCCATAGGGTCACTTAGTCTCTGACAAACTGAGTGTGTGGAGGCTCTGCCATTAAGGCCTGCAGCTTGCTTACTCTCCTTGCAGATGTGACAGCTACAAGGAAGGCTGTCTTTTGGCACAGGAGGGACAGAGAACAGGCTGCCAGGGGCTCGATTGGAGATCCCATAAGGGCAGCTAAGACAGTATTAAGGTCCCACAAGGGAACTGGCTCTTTTACAGGTGGGTAGAGACGAATGACTTCTCTTAGAAATCTCACCACCATGGAGTTTGAGAAACTTGACCTCCCTTGGATGGGCAGATGAAACTCTGAGATCGCGGATAAGAGAACCCTCAACGAGCTGAGCGACAGACCAGAAGACTGAAGGTATAACAGGTACTACAAAACGTCCTGAATGCACGCCAGCCTGAGCTGAATTCCCCATGCTAGCGACCAAAGCGAAAATTGCTGCCACTTGGTCAAATAAGCAGCCTTAGTAGACACTTTCCTATGATTAAGGAACACTTGTCAAACAGCTTCCGAACATCGGTCCTCCTCTTAATTTAGCGATGAAGAATCCATGCTGTGAGATGCAGGTTGCTCGGCGCTGGATGCCAAATCTGACTATGGTGCTGGGTCAGTAAGTCGGGATAAAGAGGCAGAGAGATGGGCAGTCAAACCGACACACTGAGGAGACTGGAAAACCAACACTGTCTTGGCCACGCTAGTGCCATGAGAATCAGTCTGGCAAGATCCAACTTCAGTTTGAGAATGACCTGTGGGATGAGTGGGATCGGGGGAAGGCACGCATGAACACCAATCCCCACTCAGGTGGAAGGAGCCTGGACTGAGGCCCGTTCAGGAACAGAATTGACCACACTTCTTGTTGTCTTTCGTTGCAAGCAGGTCGATAGCTGAAATGCCCTATTTTTCAAAA